TTAGTCTAATTATCAGAGGGGTTCAGCCATTCCCCCTCTGTTGCAGTCTCCTGCCATAAAGCCAATTATGTATGCAATTGGCGAGCTCATTCTGAATCACATGTGACCTAACTGTATTAATTAGGTTCCCATGCAAAACCTTGTTACAGACCTTACTAAAATCCAAGTAAACAACTTCTACTGCTCTGCCCTCAATCTTTTGGTAACTTCCTCAAAAAACCCAACCAAGTTTGTGAGACACAATTTTCATGTACAAAACCATGCTGACTATCTAATCAATTTTTACCTCTCCAGTGTCCATGAATCCTATCTTTTAAAATCACCTGCAACAATTTACCCACAACCAAAGTCACACTCACAGGTCTCTAGTTTGCAGATTTCTCCTTACAACCTTCCTTCAAAGATATAACATTAGGCACTCTCCAGTCATCAGACACTTCACCCGTTGCTATAGCTAATGCAAATATTTCTGCAAGAGGTCTCGCAACATCCTCCTTTACTTCCCACAACGTTCTGGGATACGTTAGATCAGGTCCTGAAGATTTATCCACCTTTTTACCCTCCAAGACCTCCTGAACTTCCTTTTCTATAACGTGAACTGTTCTTAAAACATCAAAATTTATTTCTGTGTTCTCCAGCCTCCATTTCTTTCTCCACAGTAAAAAGTGACATGAAATATTCATTTCATGTCTCCCCCATCTCCTGTGGTTCAACAAAAAGATGACCTCCTTGGTCTTTAAGGGGCCCCACCCTCTCTCTAGTTACCCTCTTCTCTTTAATGTATTTGATAATCCAAAGAGATTCTACCTTAACCTTATCTGCCAATGTTCTCTCTTATCTGCTCTTTGCCTTCCTGATTTCTTCCTTAAAAGAATATAAAGAGTGTAGGCACATTCTTAAGAGATTCAACTGAACCAAACCAAACCAAACCAGTCCCACCTGCCTGCGCTGGGCCCAATTCTCTCCAAACATTTTTTATTTGATGAATCAAAATAAAAATCTTACTACTGAAACGTAATAACTGTAAGAAATCTAGAACAAAATCTAGAAAAAGGCATGAACCTCAGAAGCAGCTATAAGATACACGCTGCTCTCAGTACACCATTTTAGAATTTTTTTTTCTTTTCAACATTCCTCAAAGATGGGTGTCACTGCTGCTAAAAGCAGTTGTTGGCACATTCCCTTATCTGGGGGATCACTTCTTCTCCCAAATTCCCTTCACTGAGGAAGTCTTCCCATAACATCATTTGGAGAATCATTAATCAGATGAACCATGTCGTGAATCTGTGGAGTTTGATTTGGCTACAGTTGAGTCATATGTAGCTCCCCTTCATTTTGTGTAAGAAAATCTAAATTCTCAATCTGCTGAACTTGACCTATTGAGTTAGCTGGACATTTTAATTGGACCTCTGTGGTCGATTTTCTGGTGAATTAAATAATTTCACATAGTCAATCAGTTAGTCTGGGATAACTAGTTATTCAGTATTACCTCTGACAACGGGACTGACAATTCTTCTTTGGAACATGAAGGATTGAGGTCCTCTTCGTGAACTTGGGTCATCTCATCACCTGACATTAAAGTCAAATCTGCTGTATTAATTTGTTCACCACGTTGCTTTGCTGTCTGAATAACTTCAATTAAAGATTCATCCACGAGCTCGAGTGGGTTGCAATGCAAATTCACTTTCACCTCATGTGCATCTTGTTGAAAAATTTGATGGTGATGTCAACGTTGTAACATTGAAGTTTCCAGGGTACGACAGCAGTGCATTGTTCAGGTATGTTGTTGAGGGTTGTCATAATCCAGCATCAATCACTCCACTGATTTGATGCCGTTTGCCTGGCAGATGCTGTTGTACTCCTGAGGTAGGAAAGGCTGGGGATTCTCCGTGTAGGAGCAACAGTGACCCTCTACAAAACAGCACAGCCCAGGAGTTACCGCAAATGACAATGCAGAGGGTGACATAATGATAGTCACTGCCACCCCAGGCCCAGCCACTGAGCCACCAGAGCCTGCACAGGCAATACTGAACTGCAGGTACCTCATCCAGATTCTCACTTCACCATCTCCACTGGTGGTGGATTCCCGGCAAGTGGCTCCCAGAAGCTGGAAATCCAAGAACCTAAATGATATAGTCACAGAGCTGTACAGCATGGAAATAGACCCATCAGTCCAACTCGTCCATGCCAATTAGATATCCTACATCAATCTAGTTCCATTTGTTAGCATTTGGCCCATATCCCTCTAAACCCTTCCTATTCATATATCCAGATGCCTTTTAAATGCTATAATTGTACCAGCCTCCACCACTTCCTCTGGCAGCTCATTCCATACATGCACTGCCCTCTGCATGAATAAGTTGCCCCTTAGGTCCCTTTTAAATCTTTCCACTCCCACCTTAAAGCTATGCCCTCTAGTTCTGGGTACCCCTACTCCAGGGAAACAGCTTAGCTATTCACCCTGTCTATGCCCCTCTTGATTTTATTAACTTCTATAAGGTCAACCCTCAGCTTCCGATGCCCCAGGAAAATAGCCTGAGCCTATTCAGCCTCTCCCTATAGCTCAAACTTTCCAACCCTGGCAACAGCCTTGTAAATCTTTTCTGAACCCTTTCAAGTTTCATAACATCCTTCCTATAGCAGGGACACCAGGAGTGAAAGCAAAAGAGGCCTAACCAATGTCTGTACAGCTACAACATGACCTCCCAACTTCTATACTCAACGCACTGACCAATAAAGGCAAGCATAACAAATGCCTCTTCACTATTCTGTCTACCTGCCACTCTACTTTCAAGGAACTATGAACATGCACTCAAAGGTCTCTCTGTTCAGCAACATACCCCAGGACCTTACCATTAAGTGTATACATCCTGCCCTGATTTGCCTTTCCAAAATGCAGCACCTCACGTTTCTCTAAATTAAACTCCATCTGCCACTCTTTGGCCCACCAGCCCATCTGATCAAGGTCCTGTTGTACTCTGAGGTAACGTTCTTGGCTCTCCACTACACCACCAATTTTGGTGTCATCTGCAAACTCACTTACCATACCTCCTATGTTCACATCCAAATCATTTATTTAAATATGATGAAAAGCAGTGGACGCAGCACTGATCCTTCTGGCACACCGCTGGTCACAGGTCTCCAGTCTGAAAAGCAAGCCTCAACCACCACCCTCTATCTTCTACCTTTGAGCCAGTTCTGTATCCAAATGGTTAGTTTTCCCTGTATTCCATGTGATCTAACCTTGCTAACCAGTCTAACATGCAAACCTTGTCAAACACCTTACTGAAGTCCTTGTAGATCACGTCCACTCCTCTGTCTTCATCAATCCTCTTAGGTCGTTCCTCAACAAACTCAAAGTTAGTGAAATACAATTTCCCATGCACAAAGCCATGTTGACTGTCCCTATTCAGTCCTTGCCTTCCTAATTACATGTAAACCCTCGCCCTTGGACTTTGAGATGATTCACTGGTGTCTGTGACAAGTATTCAACATATACCTATGTAAATACCATTGTCAAAGCATGACCACAGGGGTCAATCAGAAGGCAAGAGGCTGCAGAAAACTGCAACTGCCTGCTGGAGAAAAATATTCTCCTGGCACATTCCTCTTCAAACAGATCCAGGGAAGTAATTCTTGGCCAGGGCAGCATCTATTACATGCAGCCCCCTATTAGCACCTCATCTATGGTCTTCTATTTGGTCCAATTGCTGTTGATGGTATCTTGAGAAGACCATGCCTCTTATTCAACTATTCTTCCATCCAAATTAAACAGGCACCTCAATGATAAAGCTTCCTGAGGGCAAATAAGGAAATCATGAGAAAGAAATTATCTGGAAGCTGGAAACCTCCTGGTAATCCAAACTCGAAAATGACTCAAATCCTGTGATGCAATTATAATGAATATACCTTTCAATGCTAAATCGTAGCTCAGAAAAGTCATTGCTGCAAGGATTTTACAGGTGGGATTGGTGCTTGCTGAAACCTCTATGGCTTTGCATTAACATCATAGTCTTAATTGTATAAGTGGACACCAATTTGCATCTATTCATGATCCCACCAATTGTTTCTAACAGTCACATCAACGGACAGAAGAAAACTGTTTGAAATGGTGGCTGCAGCGACTCATTACACCGTGGTAATTAGTGTGGGTGTTTTACTGCTCAGTTGTCAGACACGCAAAACCAAAATATTTTTCATAGAGAATGTGAGTTTATTTTTTCTTTAATTTGATTAACAAAAGGAAATTTAGTGCAAATATGAGGCAGTATAACGTTACTGATTTTTAGAACTTTTGATTTGTTCTTACTTCATCCAGCCGTTAAAATGATGATCTCAAGTTAAAAGCTATATAAACATATATGAAGGTTTATTTTCAATAAAATCTGAATGAAGTATAAATTCATGTTGAATACCCAAAACAAGAAAGCAGATTTGTAATTGTGCCTGCTTGCTCGCATGGAGTGAGCCAAATTTGTTGCTCGCAAACAGCCACTTTAGAAGCCTTAGACTTTTCCAGCAGGCCATTTGGATTAGCTCTGCAGTCTTTCAACATTATAAGTCAAATGCCTGGATCCCCACTGTGTCACTTAAAACCAGCTTCACTGGCTTCCAGCTGTGGTTTAGAGCAGACTGTCAATCATTTAAATATCCCATAAATTCTCACATCCATTTAACCTTGGAAGTGGCATTATCTGGTTTTCTGCTCGAAAACACCCTTTCACTTGCCCTTTCTTTTAGTGGATATTTTATCTATTTGATCATAAAGAGCCTTAAATCTCTTTCTTTGCAGGTTTCAAAAGCTGCTGTTACAAAGTATCTTAATACAATGAGTCATAAGCAAAGGTTTCTAAAATGGTATGTAAAAACAGCATTGTTCAGTTCTTCACCTATCTGGTACAAGCTCTCAAATTCATGATACCAGGCATTATAAACATAAGAAAAATATCAAGTATATACAGCAACAAGACTATCACTTATTTAATCAAGCTCTGACTTACCTTTACATGAATATTCAAATTGATCCCAGAAATTAAATTAAACCAACACTTTGGACGCTGCAGAACAAAAAAATTGAGTTGAAAAATGCAATAACAATAAAAATTGGATTCTATGTGTATAAATGTTCTCATGTTATCCTAACTGAAGTAAAAAAAGTTAATTTAAAAATCACAAAATAGATGCTATTACTTTTAAACTGTCCATTGAATGAAGAATAGAAAATGATAACTTTGTATTAAAATTCTGTATTATTGTTTCAATATCATGTAGCACTAATAAAGTAATAATCCACTATTGAAACTTTTCATCTCATCTTCACTGTCACATACCCCTTTGCCTGTGTCTTCCATACCACAGTACAATCTGCCCCATTCTCTCTTTTCCAAAGGTAGCAAATGACCAGAAATGCTCAGCTCATGTTAATGCTACAATAAAGAAGCTTTTTTTTAGCCACATGAAGCTTAAAAGTGACAACCAAATGCCAAGAGTGTTATTCTGAATGGAAATCCAACATGCAAATAGTTAAAGCTCAGCTTCTAAGTATTGAGAAGAGGAAAAGATAGTGGAGGCATATCGCATCATTTCATTGCCGAATGATTTCCAGGTATTCTAAAAAGAGACATAGGTCCAGTGATGTCAATGAAGGTCATGAAATTGCATGTTCAGGTACCCTCCCTCAGTTAAATGTATATTCATAAATGTCACTTCCAAATGCAAAAATGACCTACGAATTGATGGTGGGGCATTAGAACATCTAAGTGTCAACCCTAGGGAGGAATCTTTGACCCATTTGACTTTACTTAATCTTTGGTTTTCTCAGGAACACGGCTACTCTCCCTTTCCACTCTCTTTTCACAGTATGAGTGCAGTTGAGGGAAGACATGTGCCTGTCTGATTATGGTCAATCGCTGGACCTGTCAAACGCTTTGAAAAAGACGGAGGAGAAAATTGAACATTGCATCCAAAAAAAGGCCCAACTATGATAACTTACACTTTATTATCAAGCCTTAATATATCTAAATATTTTTAGTAGGCAAAATCTGTTGAATTCTTGGTCTATGTGTGTAATTACATGACTATAGATATTCTGATTTTTCAAATTCACTAAAGCAGAGGTGATCTGACCATGCAGACTTAATTGGAGTTCAGTAATTCCCTTAACAAAAAAAGGCACTTAGTTTGATAATGCCCTAATACAATTCCAGATTTTAAAATGTGTTAATATTGTTTAACACGAGACCACAGTCAAAAAAGTATACAAAATTAAATTGACATTCTTACTTAATGGAATCACAGACAGCAAAAGTTACCAAAGCCACTTTGTACATTATATTTCTTTATAAAAGGGTTTTTCGTACAATTTTTAGATCTAGATTAAAATGCAGCAATTTGTCTCACATTTGCAATATTAATTTAATTACACATTAATTCATACTAACATAATAATGTACTCATAGAACAGATGATCTAGGTCCATTCCATATAATTAATGTTTTGCCAATGTTTTGTTTGACAATAACGAAAAGGACTGACAGCTTTGGGTTTTTTTTGGCTGAAATTCAAGTGTTGCAGTCAGTAAAAATGCAGACAGCCTGTTGGCATGTCACACAATACACGGCACATCCACTTCAGGGAATTCTCAGTGCATGTTTCAGTTTTGGGAACAGACACTGGAAGAATCTATCCATGTGTGTATTGGAAATGAAGGGTAAACATTTTGAGTTTCCCTCTGTAATCCCAACAGTGGAAAAGTCCCCATCCCAACTCCCACCATCTCAGAAAGTATGGAGATCTCGACCCCTGGGCCTCTGATATTTCTAGAGATTTCCAGAATGCCAAATTCCAATTTTAGCCACCATTTGAGAGAGACATCAGCATGGGAAAGGAATAAATGGACTTCACTATCTTACAAGAGGTTCCATTTCACTGAATAAGTTGGACCAGGTGAACCAATGGAGACAAATATATGCAATAAATTGATGCTTGCTAGCTGCAGACGAAATAAAGATGGACCCCACAAGTCTTGTGGGCTTCTGGAAAGTTGCCTTGAAAAAAAAGAGGTATATCTTTACATTGGAAACAAAGCAGCTGTTTAAACAAGTGCTTCCAATTTGAGGCAATTCCAGAAGAAGTGATGTGGCCATCTTGGTAACTGTCTCCTCCATTCAAATTCCAACTGAATGGGTGACTGATTGTTCAAGTACATGGCCACTTTTCATGTGAGAATTCAGACTTTACTGGCCTACTAGTAAAACTTGGATGCATTACAGTGGTAATATATTCAATTTCAATACCAACTGTCTGAAATATTTCTTTTTATTGTACTCAACCAAGCCCTGATCTGTCTGGATGCATCATGGCTTGGTATGGCAACTGCTGTGCCCAGGACCGCAAAAAACTACCGAGAGTTGTAATAAAAGTCCGGTTCATATGCAAGCCAACCTTCCATCTATTGACTCCATCTATACTTCTTGCTGCCTCAGGAAGGCAGCCAACCTAATCAAACACCCTTCCCACCCAGTTATAGCCTCTTCCAACCTCTTGCATCGGGCAGAAGATGCAAAAGTTGAAACACACACAAAAAAGATTCAAGAATAGCTTCTTCCCCACTGTTATTAGACTTCTGAATTGGCCTCAAATTTTAAATTTAATGTTGGTCTTTCTCTTTCTGCACCTTATCTACAGCCATACCACTGTATTTTTCACTCTGTTCTATTACCCTAATGCACTTTGTATGGTGTGATTTGCCTGTACTGCACGCAAAACAAGCTGTTCAATGTACCTAGGTACGTGACAATAATAAGTTGGAGATTGTGGCAGTAGGCATACAAACTATATTACTGTACTTTCCATGATAACAACATAACCATGTCAATTGTTTATGAATCTGATTCTGTTACTTGTAAAAAAAGTTTGAGATCTTGGTTGCCTGTTTCTCATGAACACTGGTTCACAACAGTATGCCAAATGTTATAGTGAACAAGATCTCCATATTAGAAGTATTTCCTTCAAAACAATACACGCCAACTTGTTTACATTTCTGCCAACTACTGTCTCATTTTCTGTCTAGTCAGTCTCAGCTTAATTCTGCTGTCAATGTTCATTCACAGATAATTTTCAGAAGTAATGTATGGATTGCAATCAAAATCAAAATTCATGATTAATTTTGCTCATCCCCATACCAGAAACAATGACATGACCATATCACCATTCCATTAAAAGCAGCTAATGTGGACTTCTTGGTTTTTGCTCCCAGTTGTCTTGACAGCATGCTTCCACCAGATGCAAGTAGGACCTCTTCCTCCAACTGACCTTCTCAATAAGGCCTTCCACCATGCTGTCTGAAAACAATGAGACCATTACAATACTCATTCTGACCATAGTTTTTCATTTTTAACACAGAAACATGCAGTACTTTTAAGAAATGCTTCATCGATTTAAAATGTTATTAATTCAACCTGGATTCACTCTAATGTTAATGAAGGAACTATCAATAACTAGCATGACAACTCGCTCACAGTCCAGACATTGACTAGACTGTGTGGCAAGGCCGGGGACTAACAGTTCTTCTAAAGAGCTGGCACTGACATGAGGAGCAAAATGGTCTCTTTCTGTACAGTACTTAATTAAGAAATACAAACCTGAAAATGCTTCATGCTCTTTATCCAGCTGATCAGACACATGTAGGCACCCATCCATTTATCCACTTTTCTCACCTAGGTTACAAATTCCTCTTTCCTATCAGTCTTACAGTTACAGCTGCTGGGTTCTTTAAGCTTGTTTCTATCTTATAAAATATAGCAAAAATGGGTACCATTTTTAACAATTCTAGACACACAATGTGGTTGACTCTCATCTGCCCTCTGGGCAATTAGGGGTGAACAATAAATTCTGGCCTGACCAATGACATCCACGTCCTGTGAATCAATAGTACAGATGAGACAGAAATGGAAAAAGGGGATAAAAGAAGTTACCATGCCATTGCTATTTGTGGTCAAATTGCTCAAGACAGTTTACACCTTTGCAATCCTTCCAAATCAACTGGCAGCATCAAAATAATTCACAAAAAAAAATTGTTTCCAATTCTTAATTTTGTTTAAAAAATATTAATCGTCCTCAGTGATAATATCAATCATATTAACAAATGTCAAAGTGAGTACTTTACACAAAGATAAAATCCCTGCTTAACACACTGAAAACTAATCATTTCATCACTTATTGTTAGCATTAATTATATATTGGTGAATTATAAATCAGGAGCAGTATGGCTGTAAAAGAAAACCAGCCAATGTAATCAAATTTACAGCTAATGAAAGAACTGTTGTGACAAGTTGTATCATGTGTAATAAAACGTGAGCTGTTGTTTCCTTTTTATTGGTATACACTACCAGCCTCTCATTTTTATGAACCATTGAAAGGAGCATAAATTTCACCCTTTATGCAACTTACCTTGAGCACATGTTATGGAGCAGAAATAATGTTCATGACAATTTTAGTAGCTACACTGGTCAGCTATATCTCTCTTTTACAAACATTTACATGATTAATTGTCAATAAATGTTGATTTGAGTGAATAAACTGTTTTGTGTGGAAATTCAACTCAACGTATATCATCGCCTAAAATATTCTCTACCATCCCTGGGATGTTTTACCACTGAGTTGATTACATTCAGGCTGACACATGATTGGTAACAACACATGAGTCTTTGGATAGCATGTTTGCCAATGTCAAGGGTTTCAGTTGCCAGCAGGAAGGCCTGCTGGTAATTTGTGCCAATGTCAGATGATGGGGCAACAATGGGGTTGCACCAGGATCAGGGCTCTCATGTATTGTAAGGTTGGCACGTTGTAGGAGTTGCTGCTCTCATGTTGAAGATTGCTACCATCGTGGTGTCCAATATGACAGCACTCCTCAGTACGAACAATTGCAGACCCAACAGAAGCAAGAAGCTGCACCGACCAGTCAAAGAGTTCAGCAGCTCTTTTGAGCAGCAATACCACTGACAGGCCAGTGGCTGCTGTCAGAACAACCACCAACTGAGCTCCATGATCCAAACCAAGAGGAGTGACAACTGACAGAATTTGTTGGATGGGCATCGTGAGAAAGAGGTGATGTACGGGAGTTTGAAGCAAGGATAAGTGTAGCTCTTAACAGTCCTTAAGTTCTTGATGCCAGATCCCTTGATCTGGAATGAGTGTCTTCGAAGAAAAGATGCCCCCTCCCCCTTTACAAGGGCTGGCAAACAAACATACCCAGGTTAGCTTGTCATGTGTTGAATAGAGAGGCCTCTGTCCCCTACTGTGTGTGTCAGCCATGGAAAGATGAGGTGTTATGGAACAGACCAAACCCAGTCAAAATATAATCAGAAAATGGTCTAGACCCTAACATTTTCCTTACTTTAAAAATAAGTGTAAGGTGTTACATTCCAGATGCAATTTGATTGGCCAAACTACTTGACGTTAAGTAAAGCACACTTTGTTCATACACTATAGTTAAAATACAACAAAAGAAAGAAAGAATAAATTAAAAGAACTTAAGCTTTCCAATGCAGTTAATAGAATAATAGATACAGTAACTACTAATTAACTGTTCCAATATAGTAACATCCCATAAACACCCCCTTGACAAAGACAAATTCAGAAAACCAGATTTCTCACATGCAACTCCAGCAACACGTGTAAAGAAGAGAATGAGAGAAAACTCTGAGAAAGAGTCACAGGGAGAAATGTACTGCAGTTTCCATTCAGCTTTAAGACCTAGCAACAACTGCGACAGAAAACTAAAAACTGAACATCCTAGTTCTTTGGGAGCTTGCCCCACCCAGTCAGGCTGTTTCCATTATTCCTACTTTAAGAATAAAAACTCAAGGCCTCACAACCTGTCTACTCTAGTGGCTCTGAGTAGATTGCTCTGCGCCTTGGCCTTAAAACCTTCTTCAAAAAAAAAAAAGACAAAATTAATCGCCCATTTAAGAATGTCAATTCAGTGAGCAGAAAGACCATTCATATGCTTTCCCACCACAATCTTAATCAGAGTGAAGGTGGGAAGGAGACCAAATTCCCATTTGTTACCAGACAAAAAAAAACTGCAGATGCTGGAATTCAAAGTAGACAAACAGGAGGCTGGAAAAACACAACAAGCCAAGCAGCATCTGGAGGAGAAGTCAACATTTCAGGTATTACCCTTCTTCAGGACTGGATGTGGGGGTAGGGGTAGCTGCAGATAAAGCGGGTGGGGGTCCGCTATCCTCCCACCCCTCCTCTATCATTTCTTCCTTTTACTTGTTTGTATTTGTTACCAGTTCCTACAGATGCACTCCACGAACTCATCAAATTTGGAATGCATTTCACTCCTAAGCAGGGAATAATTGGTGGTAATAGAGGACAAAGAAAACAGCAAATTAAATTAAAGCCTCAAAAAAAAGATGCAAAATCAACAAGTAAGCCACAAGGAATACTTACTAATCTAAGGATGAATCAGTTTTAAGAGGACCAGGTCTGTCACTGAGAAATCTCCACATCTTATGGAGTCTGGATGAAGTTGCTCTGGTAGAACAAAGCAAAGCATCACAACTTCCAAGACATTCAGGATATAACCCACAATATGATCGAGATGAAGGACGTTATAGTGTTAATGAAAGGAATGCCTCCCATTTCAAACTAATTGGGTAGAATTTTCCTAATCCAGTGGAGTTAAGTTCTGTTATATATTTTATTCCTTTCATCTGTTACTGATCTAGAAACCGAGAAGTACAAACAATATACAATGAACATATCATTTAATTATTGTACCTGAACTGAAACATCCACACACACACACACACGCATGCAGGAGGACATTCTCGAAATGTCTTATCATGTCAGTGTGCTCATCAATCCTCTAACCATATGACCTGTAATATTACCTCCTTCAGAGACTTTTCACTAGGCCTCCTCCTACAACAAAACTTTGCATTTCAAATATTAAAAAAAGTCTGATTAGTCAGGAAATAAATGTACACTATTGCTTTGGAATTGTGCGTCAGGTTAATTATTCTGACGGAACATACTTTACAATTACACACAACTAAGAACCGTCTGTCCTAAAAACAACCGACTCAATTCTGTTTATGCCTGCCCACTGTACAACATCTTCAGCTTCCCCTGTTTGAAAAGAAGGACAACTTGTACTGCCAAAAATGTAGGAAGATAATGGCTGGCCAAGATTGAATTTATTGTTTGGTATATACATCTTTCAAAGACTCAATTTGCTATTCCAATTAACTTAGCTCTATTTTGATCTTAGAGATGCTGCTTGTATACTTAGATAGCTTTTTCTCTTGTTTGTTCATTTACTGCTGCTATGCTATTTAAATTCATTTGCAGATCAAAGCATTAATTTGCTAAACTTTCTGAAGTCACAAATCATGCTCTGGTGACATAATTGTACTTGGTGAGCTTCAGCATTCAGCTTTCCAATTTGCAAGTGAAAATTCCAGCTTGTAGCCTCTGACTCTCTAAATTGCCACTGAATGATTTTCAATTTAATCTTAGCAGTCTCTTTACTTGTATTAAACTTGTCCAGTTGGAGCAAGTTTTGGTGTCCAACTGACTCAATGAACTCTGTGTTGCAAACTCCTGCAACTTTTGATAAGGTGTTTACCTCTTATTACGATGATCCATAGAGCTTGGCATATTGCATATGCTGCCATGCTAGCCCATTTATGTCCACAATATAAAATAACTGCAGTAATCATTCCAATTTCCCATAGATGCATGCAAGGTTACTGTTTCAATGCACTTGCTTGGTGATCTATTGCAGACATTCGGCCTAGCTATGATGGATCATACTTTCAGCTTTCTATTTTTCCACATACATAGCATTCAACGAGCAGAGAGACAATTTATTAGTATTTGTTCCCAGATCTTAACTTGAAGCAAATGTTTACCAAAATTTCCTCAGATATACAATCCCAATTGTGAAGAATGCTCCAGATTGCATAACACATCATCACAGAATCCCTGCAGTGTGGAAACTGGCCCTTCGGCCCAATAAGTCCACACCAACGCTCAGAACATCGCACCCAGACCCATCCCCCTAATCTACAGATCCCAAAACACTATGGGCAATTTAGCATGGCCAATCCACCTAACCTGCACATCTTTGGACTGTGGGAGGAAACCAGAGCACCCAAAGGAAATCCACACAGACACGGGGAGAATGTGCAAACTCCACACAGACAGTTGCCCAAGGGTAGAACTGAACCCGGGTTCCTGGTGCTGTGAGGCAGCAGTGCTAACCATTGAGCCACTGTGCTGCCCCAAAAAGCTCTCCCCCATGCATTTTTAAGAATTTCCACTC